GAAGATATAATTCAAAGTCACATCATTAAATCTAAACATTGAACAAACATAAAGATAAACTTCATTGATCCCCCATGGGGGAAATTTGTGCATTCCAGCATCTTTACAGCATCACTACAGCACTTTACATCCAACATATTTAATGTTATAATAACGACTGTTGTCCAAACTGAAAAACTCTTTATTTTCAAAATCACAACACACTGTCCATTTATTACATACATACCTATGAGAACTGAGAAGAACAAAATAACAGTAAGTTGTTCCAGGTTTGTAGAGGTGAGATGCTGTAACTGAATGTTCAGTATGATTCAGTTTTGTGAGTAGAGTTGGGTCTGATGTTCACAGCTGGAATCAAACAGTTCTCTGTCATCAAACACCTCTGCAGTCATTGGGAGGAGACTCATCTGTTGAACTAGTTTCATTTCTGAATTGAGAAACATCAAGAATTCATCATGACATACCATAGAAGTTTATCAGTGTGTGACTCCCTCTAGTGGATGTTGTGGAGTATTGTGTTGTCTTCTCTCCAGAGGTTTTTGTACAGAGTTGTGGTGTTTCCTGTCACTGTGGGCCTCAGAGCACAGTAGTACACAGCAGAGTCAGTCAGCTGAAGCTTCTGGATCTTCAGGGGAACAGATTTCCCGTTGATTGCAGCTTTAAATCTGTCTTCCGAGATCCCAGGAGCATTTTCTGCTTTGTTTGAGTAGCATCTCAACATGTATTTTGGAAAGTCCCCTGCTTCTTGTCTGTACCAGAACAAAAAGGGATTTGTGTCAGTGGTCTCAAATGTACAATCAAGTGTGACTGTGTCTCGTTCGGAAGCAAATACATCTTCTGTTGGCTGGATCACTCTGTCTTCTCCTTTACACTCTGAGAAAAATAGAACATGAGGAGGGAGAAATTAGTTGTTGACAAAAATACTTACTAGATTAAAAAAGGTTAAATGATTTTTATAGCAAAATAATCTGACACACAAACATGTACAGACTAATTAGAATAACATGCTTTGACTCTCACCAAAGAAAAGAGCAGCCAGAATAATCCACAGCCAAAGTTCCATCTCTACAACAAGGTTTGAACCAACATGAGACCCGAGCTGATGTACAGAATGAAGTGTGAGAATAGTTCACTTTACAGCAGCTGTTACATATCGATGCTTAAACAGAGTGCTTAGGTGATCTTCCCCCTTGATTATGTTTCCTCTAGTGGAGATAAAAAATATTACAATTGTGTTAAAGGTACTTCCAGAATGCGTTTTTTCAGACTCTGTGGAGGCCTTGTACATATTTACAAAATCCACTAATCTTAACAAACACAAAGGAAACCTCATTAAATCATTTTACCAATATCGCTGCCAGCATATAATTAAAAACTGAGAGGACCCGGGAATGAACCCTGTGGAACACCTCAAGAGATTGCAGCCCACAAAGAAAAAAATAGAAACTTCTTTAATAAAGATCAAGACAAAATAAATCAACACCAGAATCTGTAATGCTGGCAGTTATCTGGCTTACTTTATTTAAATGATACAAGTCAACAATGGTGAAATTAAACACCAGAGTAAATATGATGAAAAACAAGACCTACTTTGAAGATATTTCATATTTTAATCAGATCTTTAGTTTACGGTACAATTGTTTGTCAATCAGTGGGTCTGATTATGAAGAGAGAACCCAGCAGAGAGCTCCTGATCTGACTGATCCATTTTGGTAAACTTACACTCTGATAGGTAACAGAGGATTTGTTGTAACACACAAATATGAGGAGGTATTGTTCATGGAAATAAAATCACAATGCACCTCATTCACAACAGTTTTGTTTTTAATGAAAACAACTTAGTTTCTATCAGCATTAAAAAAAATAATCCAGTATCAACACATCTAATAAAAGTTTATCAGTGTGTGAGTCCCTCTAGTGGATGTTGTGGAGTATTGTGTTGTCTTCTCTCCAGAGGTTTTTGTACAGAGTTGTGGTGTTTCCTGTCACTGTGGGCTTCAGAGCACAGTAGTACACAGCAGAGTCAGTCAGCTGAAGCTTCTGGATCTTCAAAGGAATTGATGTCCCGTTTATTGTAGCTTTAAATCTCTCTCCTGAGATCCCAGGAGCATTTTCTGAAAAGCCTGCATTGCCTCTCCAAAGGTACTTTGGGATTTCACCCATTTCTTGTCTGTACCAGAACAAATAGAAGGTCGTTGAAGTCTCAAATTTACAATCAAGTGTGACTGTGTCTCCTTCAGAAGTAAATACATCTTGTGTTGGCTGGATCACTCTGTCTTCTCCTTTACACTCTGAGAAGAGAACAGAAAGAGGAAGAGATTAATTTTTGACAAAAATACTCACTAGGTTAAAAAAGTTACGTAGCTGGAGAATCAGACACACAAACATGTACAGAGTAATCAGAATATGTTCTTCGACTCTCACCAAAGAAAAGAGCAGCCAGAATAATCCACAGCCAAAGTCCCATCTCTACAACAAGGTTTAAACCAACAGGAGGAACTCTCTGATGTTCAACATTCAGTCTGTGATTTGTTTTCTTCTCAACAACAGTTTTTATTTCAAGAAGGGTTGAACTCATTGCTGCAGTAGTAATGCCGCCCTCTGGTGGAGATTGAAATTGCAGTTTTAACATTTAGGAAATGCTCCCAGCAGCAGGTTGTCATCATGTCAGCTTGTGTTTCTGTACAGAGTTGTAGTGTTTTCTGTTTTCTGGCATCCTGGTCGAAAGAGACGTTGTTGTCGGGAACATCCTGATGCAACCGTATTTTAGTGACGCACATCAAGCTGCACTCCCGATACTCCCTCTGACTCTAACAGTAAAGTACTAGAAAGTTAAAAAAAACAAACAGGAGCAACTGCAATAGGCAGCTTGTGCACTGTCATCAGCAGCTGTAACCACAGAGACTCTGATCAAACAGGAATCATCAGAATCCATCTGACATGAAGCTGTGGTTTGAATCCCACTTCCCTCCTCTTTGAAGAGTAGTCAGTTATCTGTGTTCAGGTTTTTGTACAGCCTCTTCTACACTTTGTATCACTGTGTTTCTAAAGCACAGTAGTAGAGAGCTGTGTCTTCAGGGGTTAGCTTTCTAATGGTCAGTTCAGTTGAGCTGCGTGATGTTTGAGATTCATATCGTTTATCTGGAATATATTCATCACTATAATATCTTGCTCCTTTCCAGAGTATAAACTGAGGTGCCTGGAGGTCAGAATGATGTCTGTACCAGTAGAGGTAAACATATTCTGATGTTGTCTCATAGTTACATCTGAGTGTGACAGATTCTCCTTCTGTTCCTCTGACTTCATCGACTGCAGGATAGATTTTGTCTCCAGCTGTTAGTCCTGTAAAACGTAGAGAAAATGAAGCCATTAGATTAAATATTGTTCAAGAGACTGAGAAGATGAGACAGTGGAAAATATCAGTATTCAAATGTTCATAGATTTCTGCTCAGAATTTAAAACACTGAAGACATGTTGTGCTTTATATCTTACCAAAGAAAAGAGCAGCCAGAATAATCCAAAGCCAAATTTCCATTTCTAAAACCAGGTTTAAACCAACAGGAGGAACTCTCTGATGTTCAATGTTCACTGTGTTGAAGTGTTCTCTTTACAGCAGCAGCTGGTATTAATATAATGTTTGAACACAGTAGTTCATTACCTGGTCAATAATGTCTCCCCCTGGAGGAATTGTAAAAATGTAGTGCAGAAATTCTAGAAGTGACATCCTGGAACGCGTCTCTGAACTGCATACTGGAACACATTTAAAATGTTCTGAACCTGATGCACATGTTAATGAATTTATATATAATCCATTCTTACTATTATTACACAAATGAAATAGATCAAATCATTTTTAAAATATCAAAGTCAACACATAAAGAAGAAATGAGGACACAGGGTTGAACCATGTGGTACACAGTAATCAATCATGTGTTTCTAGATGTTTACAGGGATAATTTATTCAGAAATTTGATACCAAACTATCGATGAATTGCCCTAAAGAATTAATATGAAAAAGCAACATATCAGACGTACTGTTCAGATATTGTATATTTATGTCAAGTATTGTTTGGATATTCTGAAATACTTTAATCCTGGGGCCTGTTTCAGTAAGCAGGTTTTTAACAAACACTGAGTCAGTTAACCATGACATGAGGGAAACTGGGTTTTCCTCATTCTATCATTCAGTCTGTATCACGTGAATATTAGTGAAGATTCACCGCTTTGTCTGAATAAAAATCCAGGTTGTTTTAATGTTATATGTTAGGAAGGCTATAGCGTATAAAAAGAACATTTGATAATGCACTTTTAAAATTAGGCTAAGTTTACTTTGTCAATATGAATAAAATAAGGTTGGCTCCCACCATGAGCCTAGTTTGTTCTTATAGCCTATTTCATCTTGAGCTGCTTTAAAGTCTTTTCTCCTGCTTAATTGCATCTTCATGTCAATAAATGTTAGTTTAAACACCATTACACCGTGTAATGTTTGTAAAACCCCGAGATGAAACAGGCGGACAACGACGTAGCAATGTATATGCTTTTAAACCAGAGGCTGCCGGTTACATTCACAAACAGTGACTAACTAACCATGACTGTGCTACATGACTGCTCTATATAAATGTGACACCCATAGATGGCGTTGTTGCTTCACTTAAAGCTGTGCTCTTTTTTCTTTTCTTTTTTTTAACAAAGAAACAAAATAATGCAAATGTTGCTATACTGAACCTGCTCTTCAAACATGCTTCAAAACTTTCCTGATAACAGAACATTTTAAATCTGAAATTAAAACAATAGATCAAATCTGTCTGAAAACAGAAAAATCAAGTTTTCTTTTTTTTTTTTTTTTTTAACTGTTCTACTTTGCTGTTTTCTTTTCTTTTTCTTTTTTTTTTTTAACTGTTAAACTATAGAATAATTGAAATTAAGAAATAAACAAAAACTGTCCATCTTGGTATTCCAATGTCATTGTCTCTACTCCACACATTTCAAGTAGCAATTGTTTATTTGTAGTCCTTCAAGTATGTGGGAGGACATCTGAGTCGTGTGGGGTATCTTGGTGTAGTTGTGGTTGTAGAGGCTTCACTGTATTCACGACCTTCGTCATCAGGATCAGCTGAGATGTCCAGTAGCTGTGGTGGTATCTTCTTGAAGAATGAAGAATTCCTGACGATGCAGTGCCCATCTCTAGCCGCTGTAACCATGGAGCCTTTGGTATTGGTCACAGTGTATGGCTTGTTGTTGTATGGTGTGGTGAGCTTGTTTTTCTTGGGCTGACGATGAAGTACAGTGTCCCCTGGAGTAAGTGTGTGTGGTTTGGCATGACGATGAAAGTCAGCATGAGATTTCATTTTGTCCTTAGCCTTGTTGTCCTTTGCTCTCACTTCAGAATCTGTACTGTTACTCGGTGTTTGAGTGAATGAAGGAATCTTCGTGAACATCTTGCGTTGGAATAAAAGTTCAGCGGGTGAGCTCTCTGTTGTGCTGTGAGGTGTGGATCGGTACTCACGTAGGAAGATGTTCAGTTGTTGTTTCCAGTGCATTCCCTGTGTGTCCGCAACACGGATAGCTTTCCCCAGGGTCCGCATGAATCTTTCAGCTGTAGCATTGGCTTGGGGCCAAAGCGGTGTGATCTTGCGATGTTCGAATCCTAGATAGTCTGCGAACTGGGAGAACTGATCACTGTTGAATGGCGGTCCATTATCGGTTTTTACAACTCTGGGGATCCCAAACATTGAGAAGACCTTGTCTATGACCGGAATGACGGTGTTTGCCGAAGTTGAGCTTACACTCTCGACAACTGGATAACGTGTGTAATCATCTATGACAACAATCAAATACTCTCCCGTTGGGAGCGGTCCATAGAAGTCTGCACTCACACTGTGCCATGGAGATTCTGGTAGAACTGACATTTTTAGTGGCTCATTCTGTGTAACTGGTGTATTGACTTGACATGCGAGACAACTGCGTACTGCTGTTTCTGCTTTTCGATCAATGTCTGGAAACCATACCTTGGTTCTGAGTAGTGTTCTAGTTTTAACAATTCCCTGATGTCCTTCATGGGCTAACCGTAGCACTCTCTCTTGTAGGGAAGTGGGAATAACTATTCTAGTCCCCCGCAGTACGATGTCTGAGTCATGTGATATTGATAGTTCACTGCTAACTTGTTTGAACTGCTTTAGTATGTCTGTATTACGTGACTTGTCCATTTTGTTCCATGTGTTGTGTCTGATGCACTCACTGAACTCTTGAAGGATTGTGTCTTTAAGAGTCTCAGCTTTGATCTCAGCGAGTGTCATAGCTTTTGGTATCGCATTACTCACGATGAAGTTAACATACTCCTCTGCCACTTTCGTTGCACGTGCGTTGTCAGCTGTGTCAAAACGGATGGGGTGACGGGACATGTAGTCAGCAGGGTTGTCAGCTCCTTTTCTGTACTCCATCTTGAAGTCGTAGGGCTGAAGTCTTAGTCCCCATCTCTCAATTCTGGCAGGAGGTTTTGATCTTGGGTTGTTCCATATAATCTCCAGAGCTTTGTGGTCAGTTACTAGAGTTACAGGATGACCATAAATGTACAGATGGAAGTGTTCACAACTCCACACAATGGCCAGAGCTTCTTTCTCTGTCTGTGAATATCTCCTCTCCACATCACTGAGAGATCGACTAGCATACGCTATTATATGCTTTTCTCCTTTTTCATCCTTTTGACTGAGAATAGCACCCAGTCCGACAGGGCTAGCATCCACAACTAACTCAGTCTCTTTGCTTGGGTCAAAGTATGACATAACTGTGTCACTTGTTAGACCGTTCTTTAGTGCTTGAAATGCAGCTTGCTGTTCTGGACCCCATTCCCAGGGCAGGTCCTTTCTGGTTATCTTGCGAAGTGGCTCAGAGATAGAGGCATAGTCTTTTATAAACCTGGAGCAATAATTGGCCATGCCCAGCAGGCTCTTGACTTCACTGACAGTCTGTGGTTCTGCAGCATGTTGAACTGCAGCGACCTTCTTGGGGTCAGCTGAAACACCTTGTGCTGAGAAAACAAAACCGAAGAATTGAAGCCTGGATTTGTTGAACTCACATTTTTCACGGTTAAGTGTGAGACCGCTTTCTTTGAGTCTTTGGAACAGCGCTCTTAGGTTGTAGTCATGTTCCTTCTGAGAAGCGCCGTAGACTATGATGTCATCACTGAGGTTCTTGACGCCAGAGAGACCTTGTAGTGTTTGACATATGGTGTTTTGAAACACCTCAGCAGCGGAAGATATGCCAAAACTAGCCTTTTGTAGCGCCTGAATCCAAGGTGAGTCGTGAATGTAGTTATGTACCTACTGTCTGGATGCAGCTCTAGTTGGTGATATCCAGCTCTCAGGTCCAGTTTAGAGAACACCGTAGCTCCATTTAACTCATGTATCACGTCGTCCATGGTGGGAGTGATGTGACGTTCTCTTTCTATGGCCGTATTAGCTTGCCGCATGTCAACACAGATCCTTACTTTGTTTGGAGCTTTAGGCTTAGGAGCTGCAACAATGGGCGAGACCCATGGCGTCGGGCCAGTGACCTCTTCAATGATACCATCTGCCTCCAGCTTCCGAAGCTCATCCTCAACCTTCTGGCGGATATGGAATGGCACTCGTCGATGAGGTTGACATGTGGTTTTTGATGTCAGGATTTATATGTGTTTCACCTGAAAATCTTGTAACTTTCCAACACCATGGAACAGTTCTGGATTGTTTGCCACCAGCTCATCAGCAGCTGTGCTATGCTGTGGTGTGGATGATACTGCAGTGACTATTTTAATCAGACCAAGTGTTTTTCGATGTTTTTATAGCTAAGTACATTAAAACAGTCACCTTTAATGACATAGAATGTGCACCTTGTTTTTTTTGTCCCTTTTCCACGCTGCACTTGAATGCACCACTGACAGGCAAAGGAACATTGGAGCGGAAGGGGTAAATCTTGGTCGCACTGTGGGCGTGGGCATTAGTGTCTCAAAACTCACTTCACTAATACAATTAGCTGAGGCTCCTGAATCGATTAGCACTTGCACATCACGGTCATTCAGCTTGATTTGCGTCTGTGGCAAGTCCGATGTATTGTCATCACTAACTGTGAACACATATTTATCATCACTGCTTGAGGAGTCATGTTGTGTTTCATTATCTGGTGCAGCTTTTGTTATGTGGTGGACTTTTCTGGAGTGTTGTTTAAGTGTATCGGGGCTGTCTTTTATGTCTTTGGATGTTGAGCGACATTGTTTAGCGAAATGGTTTAATTTTCCACAGGCTCTACATTCTTTGTTTTTAGCAGGACACTCACCATCATGAGGATATTTGCCTCCACAGTTCCTGCAGCGGTTGTTGTGAGTGAGACGTGTTTTTCAGGCCACTTTCTATTGTTTGGATAGTGCTTATCCACGGGTTTCCTGTTAACTTCATTCACTGAAGGCGTAGCTGCTGCGTG